ATACCCCACCACTCAACACAGACAAACCTACAGTGGTTGTACTGGAAAGTTTTGTGTCAACTTGATACAAGCTACAGCCATCATAGAGGAAAGAGCCTCAGTTGAGGAAACACCTTTATGTGATCCAGCTGTAAGGCATTTTCCAATAGGACCAGTAGGAGGAAGGCCCAGTCCATGGTGGGTGGGCCATCCCTGGGCTGGTGGTCCTGGGTTCTATAAGAAAACAGGCTGTGCAAGCCATGTGAAACAGCCAGTACGCAATACTCCTCCATGGCCTCTGTGTCAGCACCTGCTTGAGTTTACATCCTGACTTCCTCCAATGACAGGCTATGATCTAGAAGTGTAAACCCAATAAACCATTTCCTCCCCAATTTGATTTTTGGTCATGGTGTTTTTGTTGCAACAATAGAAACCCTAAGTAAAACAGTGGTTCTCAAATCACCATGAGCTAGTACTCATGCAGTACCTTATAACAAGTTGGTTTCCCTCCTTTCAATACCCAATGTATTCTTTGATATCCAGCTCAAATAGCATATCCTTTCTGAATACTTCATAGATCACATAAATCACTGGTATTATTAGCCAAACCTCATTTACATAATATTTGTGGTGGATCTTCCAAATGAAAAAAAACTATCATATTTTATTACCATTATTTGATTTTACCTGGTACAATTAGCAAGATACGGGAAGGGGCTAGATTTTTATTAGTTTTTGTTGTTGTTGTTGTTGCTGTTGCTGTTGTTGTTGTTTCCTAGGGCTTTTAATAGGATTGAGGTCTCAAGAGAGACTACAAATGTTGGGTAAATTAAAGCCTAGCACACGATTATGAATTTCATCACACGAAATGGATTTTACATTCTGATCCAGAAATGAAAATTATTGCATGACACATTAAGGCCACCTGAACACATATCCCCAGATAAATCTGACTTGCATTTATCCTCAATGATTTCATAAACATTATCTAAGAGCAAGACGTTGTCATTAAGTACAGCAATAACATTCATGTGCTAAAACTCCCTCATTGTGTTTGTAAGCATCTGGGTATGGGAGAGAGGCATCTTTTTAATATGCTGAATAGGGAAGATGCTGCCATTATTTTTCTGTTGTTTCCACTCATGAACAGCCAGTTTCAAGAGACAGAACAATGAATGTTCCCTTAGTTAAGATTTACTGAAAGTACAAGGTTGTTATAGGGGTGTTTTGTCTTTCATTGTATTACTGGGTCAGCCCATGTGTGGTGTGTGTGTGTGTGTGTGTGTGTGTGTGTGCACATCCATGTGCACATAAATGTTAAAAACCAGTGTTTCTTCTAGTAATCCCACCTTATTTTCTAAGGTCCATCTCACTGGACCTGCATTTTAGCAATGGGCTAGACTGGGTAGTCAATTAGCTCCCAGGACCACTCTGCCTTTGACTTCAAATTCTGGGATTACAGGCTGCACTGCTTCTCCTGCCTTCTTAAAACAATGTTTTATTATAAGATCTATTATACTTTTATTTTATATGTTTTCGAAAGGAAGCTTTCAACATTCCACATATGAAGCTTAAAAACATACAGTAAGTGTATTCAAGGAATAAACAACCTATCAGAAAACTCTCCTCAAAAAATTAAAGCAAGTTGTACCAAGGAGGAAATAATTTGCAAGAGTCATAGGATCTGTTAGTTGATCCTGGTTGTGATAAATGAAACGACTCTAGAAAAGAGCAAACTATAGATGAAAAGGAAAGGATGTTATTTTATATAACAAAGTAAAAAGGGATGGGAGAGGATTATACCCATTACCACTTCAACCACAAACCGGATTTCGGGAGCCAACGTATCAACAGCAACACCAACAAAACCTTTCCATCCCTACAGTGAAGAGGTTGCATTATTAAGCCTGCCATGTCATTTCAAACATAAACACCTAGGAATTTTAGTTTTTCTTGTGAACTACAAGCATCTTGAGGACACAGGATTTTGTATCAGTGTTTCAATGAAGGTTGAACGCTTACATTTACTTTTATACAAGTAACATTAGCTTGATAGTCTGTGCAGTCGTTTCTATATATGTGGAGTGGTTTGAATGGGAATACCCTGCATAGGCTCGGATGTTTGAATATTTAGTTCCCCATTGGTTGTAATGTTTGAGGAGCTAGTGTGGACTGGGTGCGGCTTTGAGGACTCCCAGCCTTAGCCCACTTCCAGTCCACTTCCTAGGCTTTGTGTGTACTCTGGAGCTGTGATCACTCAACTTTCTGTCTCCCAGCTGTTATGGACTTTCTTCCTGGAACCATTGGCCAAAATAAATTCTTCCATGATTTGCTTTTGATCACAGTGCTTTATCATGGTCCTGGAAAAGTCACTTAAATCTTCATAGCAACCACCAGTGATCGAGCATATTAACTTTCCTTTTGGATTATTACTCTAAACAATTTGGATACATTCCTTTTCACAGATCTGGGAGTCTTGTAAGTATTTGAGCAGAAAGGCATTGAAGAGGCAAAGACAGTGGACCAGGAGAAAGCAATGTCTAAAAATATTATCACCAAACATGAGCCTCAACTTGCAAAAAAAAGACTCAGATGTGAGGTGATGGATGGTGCCAGAGACTCAGATGTGAGGTGATGGATGGTGCACACATGTATAGAGACCAAGAAAAACTCTACCTTCCAAATGGATGGAAATCCATAATTTTATATTCTTTTAATTAGTTCCTTCTTAATAACTGTATAAAAACTTCACAGGTTCAAATAAAGTAAAACAATATGATTCTATAAGCCCAGGTGGCACTCCCTGCACACCTGTCTTTCACCCACGGAAATTTGTCTTTCTGTCATAGCCTTCCTAGCTCCCTCTTCTTAACCTGCTATGAACAGGAGTCTCAATACCCCACTACATGAGACCATGCAGAAGGCTTTATGTGACTTCATGGAAAATGGAAAACTTAGTAAACAAAAAGCAAACTCAAGGATGCTACTTTTCTGGTCCAAGCTTTTAATTTAAAGACTTCCATATATATTCACACTTTACCATTTTATTCTAAATTAAAATTCCCCTTTCCACATTCATCTGCAATCATTGATAACTGACTATATAGGCAATCTTCCTATGCAAAGGATTTGTTCTTGTCTTCCCTCATCCTTGCATCTTTCCTACCTTCATTAAGATTAGCAGAGCATTGGAAATACTCTGTGGAAAGTTTTACAACAAAAAACTTTCTAAGGGCAATGTCTAGCCATTGCTATGTCTCCTCTCAGTGTTATGTGAATGCTACAGCAGGAAATATATCTCAGACATGCATCTGTCAACTTTTTCAATCTATTTTAAAAACAAGTCACAATTTCCCTCAACTTGGAATAGCCAACTCTACAGAAGCACCCTCTGAGAGATTATTGAAGACTTCCACATTATAACAGTGGGCATATGTCATGAATCACACACTAACTTTGAGATCTCTTTAAAAACCACATATTAGTCATTGTGGATTATTTGCTTATCTTTCCTAACTTGAATGCATTCATAAAATCTTTCCAGTTGAACTAATAATTGCTAATTTTTCTCTGTGTGTAGCTAACATAATAGAATCAGTTTGCTTACAATCTCTAGAATTTTAAACCATCAGTCCTAACAATATAGGAGCAGGAAATAAATTTGTTCTAAACTAAATTTCCATGTTTTTCTCTTTTATTCCATTCTGTTGTTTCTGCCTCTATGCATCCCCTTCTCAAATATCTCTTCATGCATCATAGAATTTAGTGGTCTTGCTTATCTGTCCAAATGTCCCACCAAGGAGCCATCAGAATTCTTATGCTAAGATCTCATCTGTGCTCTGTGGTCTATTGTGGAATTTGTACATGCTCCTTGACATAGCATTTAAGGACACATAATTCAACCAACTTACCATAAATAGGATTGTTTCCCTCTCTACTCCAGGAAGTTCTGCAAGTTAGAACTTAAGGGAAGGCTTATGAATTCAAATATCATCACTTGATGCTACTGTACTGACCATGTGCTTGCTCAGTCTCTAAACAGTACACCTTCAGAACCTCACAGAGTTGGAGAATATGTGTAATATTATGAACAAAAATATATTTCATAAGCTTAAGTACTGGTGTACATAAAATAATTATTAATAAAATTTAGAATTTTATCTCTAACATATATCTTGATAGTTGTATGAAATATACTATACATGAAAAAAAAAGTGAATAGTATATAGTGCCACAGAAATAAAGCCAAACATCAAAAAACAGAAGGAGAGAAGAGATTTTGACAACAAGTTTACAAGATCAATATGCCATGTGTTATGGAATGACATGGGCTAGAATGCATGAAAGGGAAGGGAGCTAACACCCCTGTTATCTCTCAGAAGTTGGTGGCTTGGATGCACTGTTGCTGGTTATTTCTCAGCAATTGCTCTGTGCCAGTTACAAAGATTAAAAGGACATCAATTAGAAATGATTCTAACATTGGCTCATAAAAGAAAAATAAAGTACACATCACTTGAAAGGCCCATTAGCAATTGCTAAACCAGGAGCTATATGCTTTGGAAGTATGTTACCTTCTATCTAGAATTTTCAAACTAGTGCATTTGTTTGAAAGTTCTTATACATCTTTGAAAATCTGCTATCATATCAGGTACAGAACGATACTGGGAAGAATTATTTTACTGTCCAGAGCACACACTGAGGCAAGCTGACAGTCTACAGAGTATTATTGTTCCCCAAAATGAAAATCAAAATCATTATATAATTCCTTCCAATATGGCTTCTAACACACGTGATTTTCACTTGGTAACAAAAAGAAACCAGTAGATTGATCAAAAGGAACTTGTACTTCGTGTTTCCTTTAACTGTAATCTTATACTTAAGAGTTATAGATCAGAATTTGAATTAAACATTGTTATGCTCAGGCTTTGGGTGAGGTTCTTATATCAGTGCCCAGAGGATACTAACAAAGCAAGAAGGATGATCAAAATGACCAAAAGTCTCAAAATGGAGTAATTACTTACAATGTTCATCAGGGTGAGGAGGTAGTTTTGGACATGCTCTTTGCCATGGAAACGGACCACAGAGTCATCTACTCCCAGAAGCACCTCGATGTTGTAATCATTCTCTCCCGCGTGTCTGCGGCGACGCATTGTCTCATTCAGCTGCTGGCCAATGTTGCTGTAAACTGTACCTAGATCATCAAGGCCTTCCAGATCCATTTCTAGTAAGAGACAAAAGGAACCCAGGCATTTTAGTTTCCCCAATGGGTCTTCAAGTACTCCTAAAAATATTTCTTTTCAGGGAGCTTTTATTATAATCCAAAATCATTAACATATTGCTTTCAGTTTGCTTAGTAAGTAATAGGCACATATATATGCTTAGAATAACTCCCTATATATTCAACACTCACTGTTTTATACAATAGTATTATTATACTATTGTTCAGGAAGGTGGACCCCTGTGCCAGATTGCACAGTCATGAAGATAAACATCAGTCTTTTCCTAATTGCATCCTAGAACAGGGGGGAAATCATCAGGCATCAGGAGCACATGACGGAGGCCAGTTATAATGGTTACCATGTTAACCCTGCATAATCCATGATCCTCTAATCATGGGGTATAAAATTTATACTATATAAACTTAAGTCACCTTCCCAGCAGTCTTAATTTAAAAATAAACTTGTGTCATATCAACACAACTATGTTTTATGATAACTATTACTGGTCATGTTGTCAGAGTGGCACATTTGATGTATTACTTTACTATGTTGGCTTAGGGTTGAAGGGAAGGTTGCTAGGGGAAAAGTGAGCAGACATATGGGGAACAACACTCACTAATACTATAGTTCTCCACATTTGGCTGGCCTCTCATCCAACAGCAGGTAAAATCCGTTGTTAGACGTCTGAATTTGTGAGACAGTAAAGTAAGGAACCAATCAAAAATGACTAATAGATTAAAATACAATTGTAGGCACAATTTACGTTTATTTGCATCAAAGAACTATTTTAGTATGTCATATATAGATACAAACACACAGAGAGGTGCAGGGAAGGAATGTGGCAGATAGTCTTTGGGTTTCACAACCTAAATTCTCCATATTTAGTTAAAAATATTTTGGTGATTTAAAACATGAAATACATTGGACACTAATATCATTCAACTACTGGCATTAAAAAACAACCCTGAAGGTAGGTTCATTTCCATTTCAAGTCTATAAAACCCAGAAAGGAATTTATTCTATAAAGTGCCTTGATGTTAAACAAGCTTAAGAGAACCAAGTCTGACTCATACTTTATATAGAGGTTCATTGAATGCTGTGTTGAGACCTATGAGCCATCCGAATTAGAGTCTTGACATTAATGAATAGGCATTTTCCTCCCTGCCTTTGTGGTCTTAGTGAAGTTGCAGGAAAGGATGTCTCTTGGCTAAGAAGGCTGCTGACCAAACTTTAACCACATGGGATTAGAGGAATGGAAATGCATACCCTACTCACACCTCCTCAACCCCTCACAAATATAGAGAAACACCCATCCCTGGCCAACATGTATAGACACAAGCTAGACTTATGACTACTTGGTTTAAAAGATATACTGTACTTCATTTTGACCCAAGCCCAGTTCCTAAGTCATAAGCTGGGTGGGAATTTTCTCCTCATTGAGAACTCACTGGCTCCGCTGTGTAAAAATAGCTCTCGCCATCATCCACATCAAACAAAAAGCTCCCCTCAAAAGTTGCTTTTCAAGAGCTGCAAACCTATACTGAGGGCTGGAAAGGACACCTGTGCAGAGCTTCAGTATTCAACCTCAAGTCTCTCCACACACTTGAGAGTGAGAGAGTTGGGATACCTAGTCTACAGATCGGACACTGATGGATTAGCTGTCCATTCTAAAAATGTCCTGTTTGGCAGAGTTGTCAGAGGCCACATTCAATGGAAATACGCTACCAGTGTTGTATCATTAAGCCAGATGAATGAACAGAGGTGTGGGTTGATTGCGGAGAAACAGTTCATTTTGCTCTGATACCTCCAGTCTGGCTTTTGCATTTTCCATAAATAAATGAAAATGGAGGAGACATTTATGGTACAAAATTTATGGTACAAAATATATGGTACAAAAAGATAACATGAGGAAAAAAAGAAACAAACCCTTTAAAACCAAGGAATTTTTTTGCCCATCTTTTACTCTGTGCTGTGCAATCTTATTTCCCATGATTCTGAATATGGATAGGGTCAAACATTAGGACAACTTCAGGCAGTTTTTGCTTATACACATCATAATTCTAGTCATCTCTGGGGCCATGAAGTATATCTATTCATAATTACTTTGCCTTAATATGTTACTTTTAAATGTAATATCCCGGTGACTATTAGCATAGATATTTTTCCCCTAAGACAGGATCTCACTGTGTTCTCTAGGCTAGACTTGAACTTGCAGTTCTGACCCCTGGGAAACTAAGAAGAAGGTGTGTGCCACCACAACCAACTATCTTCAAATCTTGATAATGACCCATCCATCTATAGTTTTATATAAGATGACAAACCTCCTTGACCCTCATCTATTTCATTTACGTAATGAAATAATCCTTATACTCAGGACTGATGATGCCTCCGCTGATAGGAATGCTTGTTGTGTAAGCTCGAAGACCTGACTCACATCTCAGCATCCACGTGTTAAAAACTAGGCATGACTTCCTACAAGCCTGTTATCTTAGTGCTCTGGGTATGTATGAGGAGGGAATAGGAAGCTAGACTGCTAGAATAGCTCCAGGTCTAGAGAGATTCTGTTGCAACAGAATGACAGAGCAATACACAGAAGGAACCCAGACTTCCAGTCTAAGCTCTAAGTTCATATAGAAGTTCTGCCTCAAAGAAATAGGTTAAGTGACATAACAAGACACTTGACATTCTTCCATGGTCTCTGGATGTACACAAAAGCACCACCTCCCCACAGCACACATGCACTATTCAAATCTATTCCATCCGAGCTCCCTGTAAATATACGCTGTCTCGTATGTGGCTGCTAGATTTGAATCTCTAACTTTGTGTACTCAACTTAAGAGTTCCTGTAGAGGCCAGAAATCTATAAAGAGCCCACTAGGAAGGGGACACCCTAGATGTGACAGTAAAATATAAGTAATATGAATGTAGAGATAGAGATGAGGTGGAAAGGTACAAGCAAAGAAGGGGTGGTAGTGTATGGGAAATAAGGTGAGGAGAAGAGTTAATCAAACTGAAGGGGTTACAGAAAACCCATATAGAAATATACTATCTTGTAAGCAATTTACAACATGTAACTTATGGAAAAATTTATAAAGAAAATCTCTTGTATGGGTGGATAACGCTCCTCCTAGAAGCTATGGATCATTAAACAAAAACCATAGTACCAGGTTTGTGATAACTACTTGTGAGTTATTGATTAGGAATACCGTAAAACCCCAAACAATACAGACTCTTGCCATTATTTTTGGTTGACCAGCAAAACTGAAGGATAAGATCTTATTGTTACAGACACTACACATCTTGGTTGCATGATATGCAAATTGAGTGGGAACTGATCTGGAAGCCTCCCCACTGCAGGCTAGATTTCACTGTGCTAGAAAGTGCTATGTAGGCTTCTGGTAGAGAAAAGGCACCAATGAGCTTACCTAGTTATGAAGCATACGAAGTATAATACCGATCTCCCAGGAAAGTTGTATGTACTTGTACAACAGTGGCACAACTCTTATAGCGGAAACCATTTACTCTGTGCTTGAATATAAGGGCTGTGCTCCTTGCCATGTAAACGCAGTCAAAAACCCATTGATGAGGAGGTCTTGGGTCTTGGAGGAGGTAACTTAGTACCACTGTTCAGCTAAATTGATACGACACCAAACTACCTTCTAAATATTATGTTTATACCCATAGACAAACACTAGTCTCAGCATTACTCACATAAGCTTCTCTTTGCAACGAGCAACAGTGAATTCAGAGACATATGATTGGTCAAGTTGCTGAAAATAAGAGACGGTTAAGTGCTTAGGCCTCATTTATGCCATCCTCGCTGAGCCTCGGGAAACATTATGGAAGAGTGAGTGGAAAGAATTTAAGATCTGGAAAACGGAATGAAAGGCTATGGATGCTACTTCTGGACACAATATAGCCAGTACAATCACAATTTCACAGTAGCTGCGGTTGCCTGCATAAGACTGAGCACATACATGACGCGTCACTGTTGATAGAACAAATGGCCAATTTTTAGTATGCTAGACAGAGAATAATGGCTCTAGTTACTTCATATGAAATTATTTATGCCACAGTGCCTAAGGCTCTGTTTATTTCATATTTAGAATTTAGTGTTCATCTTAATCATGTATTGGAGTAGACTTTCAGGCTGGATGTAGCTAATATAAATAGGACCCCCTAAATTTATTTTTGTTAGAGCTGAGGTATAGGAAGTAGTATTCATATAGTAAATGTGAGTGTGAGGGCAGCTGAAGCTACCCTGAACAGTAAAACTGATGAGGTTAATGGTCAAAAATGTTCCACAACAAGGGGCTTCACATCAACGATGTGTTCTCGGAACATCAAATGATATATTTCTTTCTCTTTTGGAAAAAATTGATTTTTACTTTTTGGGGAGCAGTAAATTTTTAGAATTTATCTTGACATACATTAATGAATATATTAATATATTAAACACATTTTGATTGCCAATTTTTGTTCACCCACTAGTTTGCTGTTGGCAATATATTATTTTTAAAAAGCATAACTACTTTTCTCTGTAGTTGTTGGAATGAATTTTGAGGCAACATATAATTGAACAATTCAATCATAACATGTTCAGCGATTTTTCATGTTAAATGAAGTGTTTTTCGCTGCTGAAGTACAATTTTGAACATACTAAATATGGTATAACTTATGTTATAACTTATGTTACTACTCACTCTGAAGACTTGATCTTACACGATTTTCAAGAAGGAATTCACATATGTCTAATCATACTCACAGGAAATCAAAGTGTGCTTATTAGTCAACTTGATTCTCTTCTCAGAAGTCCCTTTTGCCTGAAAGGAGTCAGAGCTAAAGTTGGAAAGGTGTATGTTTTGACTGAGTTCTGTATCATACAGATAGCTTCAGGGTCAAGACAAGCGCCATCTTGTGTTTGAGACAGTGACAGGATCCTGTGCTCAGTATCTAGCTGCTTGTTACACAGAGCAGAATGCCCATTCTTCTATCTGAGACA